CAGCACTTACTACAGGGGAAGTCAGCACAGCTGGACTAAACCAAAGCTAAGAAGTTTTCTGAATACAGTCAACACTTTGAGGGACAGAGTCACAGGGGTATGGGTCTTGGGACCATGCTTTCAGGGGATGTCTAGGTCAATTGGCATAACAAAACTTATTAAGAAAATGTTCTGCATCCTACTTTGGTGAGTGGCGTCTGGGGTCTTAAAAGCTTGTAAGTGGCCACCTAATATGCATCGATTGGTCCCAACCACCTGGGGTAAAGGAGAATGAACAACACCAAAGACACAAGCAACGTAGTAGCCCAGGAGAGAGAAAGGGCCACATAAACCAGAGATTTCATCAGCTTGAGTCCAGAAGAACTAGATGGTGCCCGGCTACCACCAGTGACCACCCTGACAGGGAACCCAACAGAGAGTCCTGGATGGAGCAAGGAAAAGATAAGGTGCATAATTCAAATTCTAGTAAGAAGACCAGACTTAATGGTGTGACTGAGAATGGAGATACACCAGAAAACAAGGCCCCTGGATTCTCTATCAGTCCAGAACTAAAACAGTTTCCAAGGCCAACTCTTCAGACAGGGATTGGACTGGACTGTGGGACATAAAGTGATACCCGTGAGGAGTGGGGCATAAAGTGATACCCGTGAGGAGTGTGCCTCTTAGCTCAAGTAGATAAAAGAGACTAAACAGGCAACTTCTGTCCGGAGGTGAGATGGGAAGGCAGAGAGGGTTAGGAGGTGGTTGAATGGACATGGGGAGTCTCAGGCGGAGAGGAGGAGTGTGCTGTCACAGTATGGGGAGAGCAGTTAGAGTCACATAACAGTGTATGTATAAATTTTTGTATGAGAAAAAAAAACAATTAATAGAACGTAGTGACCAACTGATTGTACATGGTGAGAAAATTAAGTGGAGTTATAACTCCAGGGATGGAAAGCTGTCATTTCAAGCAATGAGAAGTGTATGACAGAAGCACAAGATGGGGGATGCACATGGTTAGTTTTGAGCAGAGTGAGGAAACCAGTTTGGCTAGAATATACAGGACTCAAGGCAAGGTAGCTGTGGGGAGAGCAGGAATAGCTAGAAATAGGGAACTTCTATTTGATGTTGAGCATCAGAGTGACATTTTGAAATCAGTGGCTTAAAAGAATAAAAACTGGCAGAGATGTCAACATTGACTAGACCAGTAAAAAAGACAGAGCCTATAGCTGTATAACATCCTTGTTTGCAGTATTAAGTGTAAGATGTTACAAAGTTGCTAATACTTCTTGTTGACTATATGCTCATGTCTAGTGTGCTATATATTAACACTTCTTGAAATCTGTTTCTTTTATCATAAGAATTTAACGTACAGGTTAAGAAGTATCATGATGCAAATTTTTTTTTTTTGAACAGTAAGAGTTTTTCTGTTGAATCTGTCTCCATGACTTAAAGCTTCTTTTTTTTTTTTTTTTAACTTATACATTTAACAGCCTTATGGTAAAATTATACCATATATTAAAAAGCCATAAGAGATAAGGGCATGGTCTTTTGATGATCCCAATCTGGAATTTAGTTGCATTTCTACCACCATTATTATATGTAATCAATGTTAAATTTATAGAATTGATCTGGTAGAAAAAGTGAGCTATTTCACGTTTTGGATTTTATCACTGCTGAGTTGGGTATGATCTGTTAAGTATATTAGGATCTAAAAATTCAATGTCATGTTTCTACAACTTATGCCTTATAATTCTATATCCTTCTGATACATAGTCAGCTGTAGTTTAATATGGGTTCTTAATTGTTATTTAATTACAGAGAAAAAAATTTAGAAATCTGAAATTTAAAAAGGAATATCTTATGAATTGACAAATTAATACTTAGGACTCCAGGATTCTAAAAGGAATGAAAGTCTTTCCATGCCTGTTAACTAGCAGATGGGCTTACTTGCAGAGTACAGGTGTTAGATCTGTCACAGTTGATCATTTAACTTTAAAAAAAAAAAAAAAGGAAAGAAAAAAATACAAAAACTGGTCTGGAGAGTGGAAAACTTGCTTTCTGATCATGAGGCTTTGCCACTAACTAGTTATATGGAAACTAGTTATATATAAACCATTTAACATCTCTGAACTCATATGTATTAACATCTCTGAACTCATATGTATTCTCATCTCTGAACAAGGGGGTTAGACTAAATGTTTAAAGATCTTTTACCTTTAAAATTCTTTGGCTGTAGATATCACGAAAGCAGTCATTACCCTTTTCTGAAATAGAATAATTTCCTTGTGTGTTTGTTTATCAAACTGTCCTATCATCATAAACAAAAGAAGGAGTTGTTATGGAGTACCTGATCAATGCGTAAAGCATTTTGCTAGGTAGGTAGGTACAGAGTGCATGTGCATTCTCGCACACACGTGTGTATCAAGCAGAAAGAATTGACACAGCTTTCTCCTCTGTCTCTACTATTTCTGTATCTTTCTCTAGTCTATATTCTTTCCTGCTATACACCTTTCAGAAATCTGTGATTTCATCTGTGCCCTTGTCTGTTATTCCAAATATCAAGCTAAAAGAATTGACATAGCTTTCTCCTCTATCTCAGGTATTTCTGCACCGTTCTCTATCCTCTATTCTTTCTTCTCTTTACACCTTTCAGAAATCTGTGCTTTCATCTGTGCCTTATCTCTTATTCCAAATGGTTTTTCTTATATTTTTAATTTTTTTTAACATCAGTTAATTTTCTTCAGTCTTCGAGCATGTTGAAGTCACCCAATCCTTACAAAAAAAAAAAATTTTTTTTTTTTTTCTCAAATGCTCTTTCACATAAAGGTACCATCTCAAAATGGAAGAAACAAAAACATATACTCATTTTGAAAATAGAAAAAAATTGCTCCAGACACACTGTGGGGAAAGGATTTAAAGGTATATAAAATAGGATGTAGGACTACACACTGATTAGAATAGCTAAACTCCAAAACACTGACACCACCGAATGCTGGTGAGGTCGTCGAGGATCAGGAATTCTCATTCATTGCTGGTAGGAATGCAAAAGGGTATAGCCACTTTGGAAGACATTCTGGCAGTTTCTTACAAGGCTAAACATCAGCTTACCATATAATCCAGCAATCATGCTCCTAGGTATTTACCCAAATAAGTTGAGGACATCTGTCCACATAACAACCTGCACACGAATGTTTATAGCAGCTTTATTCATAATTTCCAGAAAACAGAAGCAACTAAGATGTCCTTCAATAGGTAAATGAATAAACTGTGGTATGTCCATTAGCATGGAGTAGTGTTCAGCTAGAAAAAGAAATGAGGTATCAAGCTACAGAAATACATGGAGGAGCCTTAAATGCATATTGCTAAGTGAAAGAAGCCAGTCTGAAAAAGCTACATACTGCATGAGCAAAACTATAGAGACAGTAAAAAGATAAGTGGGTCCCAGGGATTCAGGGAAGGGTTGCCATTGACTTGCATGATATTGCACTATCCAAGTTCTCTCTCTCCTTTTACTCTCTTTTGTTGCGCCACATCCTTTACCTGTTCTTTAAATGATGAAACATCCTTTATAATTCAATCTAAAGCCATCTTCTCCTAGGTAATCTCATCCATTCTCCTGGTTTTATATGTCACTTCTATGATGGTGACATTATATTCTTGGATGATGACACATCCAACTCTATATCTTTTGACCTAAATTTTCAGCTGTGTATTAGATGTTACAGATACCTAAAACTCAGTGTGAGCAAAACAGGGTTTACCTAGAGCTTCCTGTTAGAAGTAATGGAACCACTGTCCTTCCAGTCAGCTGGACACAAATCTTACGAATTGTTTCTGATGCATTTGTCATCTCCGTCTGCATTCAGTCATGTTGGCTCTACCCTATCCTTTCACATTTTTATTTCTGAAGGGACAGCTTACCCTGCCCTGGTTCAGATTATCTCTGACCTAAACTGTTTCAATGGAGTACCTGGCACAAACAGTTGAGCGCTCAACTACTAGCCCAAAGGTTGACAGTTCGAACCCACCCAGAGAGGCTTCAGAAGACAGACCTGGTGATCTGCTTGCTGAAGGTCACAGCCTTGAAAACCCAAAGGAACAGTTCCACTCTGCATGCATGTAGCAGTTCTACTCTGTAACACAGAACCATCATGAGTCAGAATCAACTCCACAGCAACTGACAACAACAAACTCTCTCATCAGTTTCCTAACTTGTCTCTGTATCTCTCGTTTCTGATTTTCCAATTCATCCACACAATATTGCCAGATTTAACATCCTAAAACATGCATCAAATCTGGTTCTCCTTCACTACCTATAAAATAAAGGCCAGCTTTCTTAGTCAAGATTCTCGTTCCCAGCTACATTTTCACCATATCCAATTTTTCAGCCATATCAGACTATTTCTTTTCTCTAAACTAAGCCACATTCTTTCCTGCCTCTGCTTTAGTTTTAGCTCATATGTTTATATCAGTCTGGAATGTCCTCTTTCCAGCCCCGGTGTCCCAGCCCAGCTGTGGAAATTCTTTTCATCTTTTGCCAGTGCAAATGCTACCTCCTCTGTAAAGCCCACAGAGTTGGAATTATTCTTTTCTCACTGTCTTATAGCACTTTCTCCCTCTAGTATGTACTTATTTTATCTGCCACTCCCACTGCAAAAGCCTTTGCCTTACTAGTCTTTATGTTGTTTACAACACCTAGCATATTACTTTACACAGAATAGTAACTTAGTGTGAAGAAACATGCACACACAATGAAATGATCTTCTCCTTATCCTCCTCCTCTTCTCATTCTTTACAGTGTTACTAGATTTAAAGACAAAGAAGTTCCTCCTGGAAATAGATTGTTCCAGAATGTTTAATGGCTAATGTAGTTAGCAAATAATTTAGATATACCATCTGGACAAAGCTATTATTTGGAGATAATTTTATTATTTGTATTTTACCATATATTGTGCCCAAATTCTTTGTAAAATGAACCTTAACCATTTTTATAATTTAGGATGACTTTATCATTTTAGGTGGAAAATTTCTTCTGTATGGGATCTCCACTAGCAGTTTTTTTGGCATTGCGTGGCATCCGCCCAGGAAACACTGGAAGTCAAGACCATATTTTGCCCAGAGAGATTTGTAACCGGTTACTAAATATTTTTCATCCAACAGACCCAGTGGTGAGTTGCAAATACATTTTTGTCTCAATATTAAATTATTCCTAAAAGAATCTGTAAAAAAAATGTTGAAAGATACCATTGCATTAATGAGAAGGATTTCATTTATCTACTTTTATTTGCAAAAGTTTATATTCTTAAAACATTTGTGTTTTGGTTAATTTAGGGCTCATGAAATAATATTCCTTAAGTATGATCTGTTTATGTTGTACTTGCAGTGTAAGAGCATAATGTAAAAATATTATCCCTGGAAATTAACACAAGGAACTAGAGTCTGTTGGACTTTCAAGCTTTAACTAGTTGTCATACCAGTAACCAAGCAACCATAAATTTTGAAAATCCCATTTTAAATTCTTTTCTGTAAAGCATGCTACAATATTGAAATGTGTTTGGTAGATCCTATTTGAAATGACAATATTCAAATGTTATCTATTAAACATGAGAAATTGCAACTGTTTATTTTGGCATGGAGGAGTTTTTAAATTTTGTATATTTACATTTTCTATTATGTTTGTGCAAGAAATGTTTTTTTTTAATGTGAGCACTACACAGATTTTGCATCCAGGTAAACAGTTTAATGCCAAATAAGATTTTTAGAGAAGAAAAGTACTTTCTTAAATCCATTTCAGAATAAGACTGAATATAACTAAATACTAAAACTAATTTAAACGGCATTCATTCTGAGAAAAGTAATTTTCTATAATTGTGTAAAGTCTTTTAAGGGATCTTTAGGTAGTACCAAGTAAACATAACATTGAATAAACACTAGAATTTTAGAAAATTTCCCATTTGTTAAAGAATAAAAATTGCTATATTTAACAAATAGTTTAACTGAACTGGGAATCTGATATGATATTCAGATAAAGACTGCACGATCTTAGTCATTTCTGAGACTGTTTCCTATCTATATGATGCAGATGGCAATATTTTACATCAGAGTTGTTAAGATTAAGTAAAATATACATGAAAGCAACTCAGCTATAGTGTAAGCATTTCATTAATATACATTTCATTTTACTCATCCTTATAACTTGAAGGTGAACTCTGAGCTTTCAGTGGATACCCTGTCCTTTATATCTTAAACTTTGCTGTATATTAAAAGAGGATTCTAAAATCACTTTATTATTATAAATTATTTTCATTATCCATTTTATAGTTTTTGTATTTTATAGAAAATATTTTAGTAACTATAATATTTTAGTAACTCTTTTTTAATACTGTGTCAGAACTGTGCTAGGCAGTTTTTACAGACGTTATCTGTTCTTCCCAACATTCCTGTGAGGTGGGATGTCTTATCTCCTGTCTACAGATCAGGAAAATGAGACTCTGAGACCTTGTAACTTGACAAGCATCGTACAGTTAATAAGTAATAGAGCTACAATATGAACTTAGGGGATTCTAACACCAACCAAGTCTGTTACCTTTTCTTCTACATCATCCCTACTTCACATTAGACAAATCGTCTTATATCAGACTCTTAATTTGTGCTATTTGAAAATTCCTCAAGGACTAAATAGAGTTTAATAAGATCTCCTAAGGTCCTAGGGTGGTGCATACAGTTTGTGCTCTGCTGCTTACTGAAAGGTTGGTGGTTCAAACCCACCAGCTACTCCACAGGACAAAGATGGCAGTCTGCTTCTGTAAAGATTTACAGCCTTGGAAACCCTATGGGGCAATTCTACTCTGGCCTATAGGGTTGCTGTGAGTTGGAATTGACTCGATGGCAGTGGGCTTGGTTTGGTTTTTTGGATTATCCTAGAAGGGAGCCCTGGTGACACAATGGTTAAACCACTCAGCTGTTAACTGAAAGGTCAGAGGTTCGAACCCACCAGCCAGCCACAGGAGAAAAGGCCTGGTGGTCTTCTCCCATAAAGATTTCAGCCTAGGAAACCCTATGGGGCAGTTCTACTCTGACCTATAGGGTCGCTGTAAGACAATTGACAGCACACAACAACAACGTTATCCTAGACTTTTTTTTTTTAATATGGTAATATCATTAAGAATATAATTAAGTCAACCACGTATTGTTAACAGTAAACAAATAGGAATGTATGTTTGAAATATCCATTTTATCAATTCCTCCTTTAAGGTCTATTTAATATGCAATAGAAGAAGAACAGTTTACTGAAATCAAAACATTGTGCTTTAATGTTGTGTTTCTTTGATTTTTTTGTTGTTGTTGTTACCAAGGCTTATAGATTAGAACCGTTAATACTGAAACACTACAGCAACATTTCACCTGTCCAGATCCACTGGTACAATACTTCAAATCCTCTACCTTATGAGCATATGAAGCCAAGCTTTCTCAACCCAGCAAAAGAACCTACCTCAGTTTCAGAGAATGAAGGCATTTCAACCATGCCAAGCCCAGTGACCTCACCAGTCTTGTCCCGCCGACACTATGGGGAATCTATAACGAATATAGGCAAAGCAAGCATATTAGGTAATTTCTCTTAAGAATTCCTTATCTGTGAATATAGACACTTTTTATATAGAAATTAAATTTTGGGTACTTTGAAATAATTCTCACTTATAACAGTTAACCCCTGTGTCTAGAATTAACTGCCCTTTCACTCTTCATACTTGAGGGCTGAAAGCCTTAAAGTTCTCTAATTAGATCTAATTAGATCCTGTAGTTTCAGAATATGAGAGAGCTGGATGGGCAAGAAAAGGCATTGGTCTGAGAGTCAAGTCCCTCATTTTAATCTTGGCCCTACTACTTACTTTGAGATCTTGGGCAAATCATGTGGTCTTTAATGTTCTACTTCCTCATCTGTGAAGTAAAGGCGTACTTGAGTTCTAAGGGTACCGTCCCTGACTGAGTTCTCTTATGTTCTAAACGTCTCCGAAACTACGCTACCTGAGGGCAGCAAGGACATTTAATTTCTCTTTGAATGAACCTCAGTACCAGCACACTGTTTGGTGTATCACTGGAGCTCAGTTATGTGCCACTTAAGTTTGTCCATTGCTTTTGGTTACAAGTTGCTTTAATATAAAATGCCACAAGATGGCACTATAAATAGGCTTATCGGCTGGACTCATTTGCTATTTCAGTTTGTCATACTCACAGTTCGTTTATTGATGGCTTTTTATAACATATCCACTTAACTTCAACAATAAACATATCAACAGTAAGTATATACCCATCTCAGTGGCATGGTTTTTTTAATTAAAGGTTTTGATCTTGCCAAATATTTTAATAAACAGTGATCAGTTGAATAAAATAGAATCTTTATTCCTTTGTTTATAAACTATATTCCTAGAGTTTGTACAACTTTCCCTCTACTTTACACCATTTTTATTTAGAAACCTACAATATAAGTTGTAGTTTTCTTAAGGTTTATGTTCCCACCCTGGAAAAACATGACTAGAGCTTAGTCCCTCTGCCAGTTGGCTGTAATTATGGGTGGTGCCTTTTAGCTTGGTATGTGGTGTAATTCAACAGAATGACTCTCCTGTTTTGTTAAATACAGGGGCTGCTAGCATTGGAAAGGGACTTGGAGGAATGTTGTTCTCAAGATTTGGACGTTCGTCTGCACAGGCATCTGAGACATCAAAAGACTCAGTGGAAGATGAGAAGAAGCCAGTTGCCTCACCTCCTTCTACCACTGTGGCAACACAGACCCTTCCACACAGCAGCTCGGGCTTTCTTGATTCTGCATGTTAGTTCATACTGTTATTTCCTTAAGTTTATATTGTATCTAAAACTTGAGGAGGGCAGGGAGGGTTAAGATCTTAATACTCACAGTCAACTCCAAGACCTGCAAAGCATCCATTAAGCTTTAATGGAAAAAAAAAAGTTTCCTTCTGCTTACATTTTTAAGAATAATTTCCAGGTAAATTCTGTTTTTCTCTCTGCACTGGTGAATTAATAGTTAAAAACGTCAGTAATCAGAACCTTGTGGCACAGGGGTCTTAAACATCAAGCATAAAACAAATCTCTTTTGGGTAAGCACCCATCTGATTTTTATAAAGTAGTTTTGTTTTGTTTTTTTTGTTTGTTTGTTTTTTAATAGATCTTCTCAGTCTTAAAAATTCTGATAGCCACAATTGCTTCATATCTATACTATATCTAGTCCTTAGACTTAAAAAAAACTTTTTGGCTCTGCCAGAGCCATCCTACTCCTAATCCCACTGTTCCCTTCATCCAGCCTGACTATAAGACCTTTAAAGCTTAAACATTTTATTGAATTACCTGTATGGCTTTCAGTCCTATCCCAGCTACCTAATATAAAGTCATTACTCAAGAAATGTTTAGTCAGTGAATGGACAGGACTTGAGATCTTTGTAGTTACATTGAACTTAGCATATAGGACCTTTTTCCAGTAGACTTTCAAAGTTTAAAATCTGGAATAGTTGTGAAACACTAATACATTTAGTATATATATGTATTTACTGTCAAGGATCTAAACTAAGCATTATTACAAAGATCCCAGTAAAATAAGATTAATAAATCAAGTCCTGTTTTTCCATTGACTTATGTAAGGAAACGTAAGTTCTGAAGCTAGCTACTAACTTTCTGTAACTATAGCAAGAAGAAAACTTTGCTCTCTTTCTCTAAAAATTTTACAACTAATTTTAGATACTTGTATCCTTGTTTTCTTACTGTGTCTACTACTCTAAATTTGAAAATGACCAGCATCCATTGCCATCCATAAAACTTGCTTTAAAAGGAAGTAAGTTAGAATAGTTCAGGTGTGATAGTCCTCGAGGCTGGATGTTTCCTCCACAGTCAATCTCAGTCCAGCATGGATTATCAATTGGGTTGGACATTCTTATTTGGGCCAATAGCATTTTTAACCTAATTCTTTCTGAGTCAGATTCTGAGTACTGAAAATTTTATTATTTCAAGCCTTTTGAAAACTGCCGAGAAATTTTCTCTTTAGACTTTGACATTATGTAAAACAAAAAAAACCTCACATTTTAGTTTTCCTATAAGAGTTCTTATACTATTACTGACTTAAGCTCTTATTTCTACTTAATATCAGACACGTGATTGTGAAAATTTTGTTGTGACACAAAGAAGTCAAAAGAAAACTCGAAACTTCTATGGAAAATTAATTTCAAAGAATTTTGTAAGATGACAGGTAAAAGTTACAGTTCCTTAGATGTTGTCAATGGACAACAGTGATGCTAGTAAACATGAAGGTAAAGGAGGGAGCAGGGAGAGCGGGCAAGGATTGGAGCCCCAGAGAAACGATAGTGAAGACATTAATATAAAATCTATAGGATATGAGGGAAGAAAACAGCTAAATATTGACTGCTTAACATAATAATGTCAAAATGATGATAGAGAAACCTCCAGTTTCTTCTTTGATTACAGTAGTCTATAGAGGTACTTAGCTATATTACATCATTATGTTTTATAGCTTAACAAAATACATTTTCTATCATTCTTACATGTATATTCTTTCCTGTTCCTGACGGTAAATACCTTGTCAACTATAGATTCAACTAAATATGAGCTAATCATATGTCTTAGTTACATATATCCATCTCTAGACATAGATATAACTATTAAAATTGGACTACTGCTACAGTAGGATTCTGTCTTTTAAATCAAATCCCTAAGAGTTGCCTTACTAATTCTTTGACTTACTTCAATAATATGCCCTTCTATGTAATCCTTATTTAAGCAAATATCTTATGTCTTAATTGCTGTTTTGGCTATATCTGGCAAATCATGAAAACTTTCTTCCTTAAATCTTTCTAGAATTTGGGCATTGTGATTAGGTGATTTTAGCTTCCTTTCTTGTCTTTCTTCCTTGTACTCGCACTGATTGCTTCAGTTCTTCAGTTATTCTGAAGCTATGTGTTTGATTCTCTTAATATTTGAGGGTTAGGTGGACACAGACTGAATTCATGATCAATCAGGGTATCCCTCTTTGAAGAGTAAGTGTTGTCAGTTGAAACCTACTTTATTGTCATTGAGTTGAAGCTTATATAGTGTTCTTCATTTCTTTTGAAAAGTTTGGAAAGGTTATTTTCTGTGGTTTTACTGTTTCATTTGTGCCCTCCTGTGTTTGTAACATATTATGAAAAGAAAAAATCTGTTCATTTTAGTGTTGTTTTGCCTCTAGGTTAGCACCTAAGTGATTATAAATTTTGGGAATGTCTGGATGTTTACAGATTATGACATTATACTTCAAAGTTAATTATGCTTACATTTTCCATGAAAAAGCTCTTCACAAAAGCCAAAGTTTGTACATCTTTATGTATGCTAGGTTTAATCAGCTTACTTGGGAATATTGTTCTAACTTTTGGCCACTGCATCATTGAAGGCCATTTTTAACTATCAGCCAACCCTTTACAGCATCTTATTTTTTTTTTCACAGATTTCAGACTTCAGGAATCGTTCTTTAATCTCCCACAACTTCTTTTTCCGGAAAATGTAATGCAGAATAAAGATAATACCCTCGGTATGGTATATGACAGGAATAGCATTCAGAATACTATGAAAATGATCTACTTAGAGTTCTTTTGCTCATTGAAAAATTGGATCAATTCTACTATGTGATCAGCTTGGATGTTACCATTACAGACAATTTTATATGTATTTTCTTCCTATATTTTCTATTCTTTAATGGTAGTAATCCTGAAACCTGGTTATTGATTAGCCACTTAATGTACAAAAATAGAAGATATTCCTGTACACTCCTATAAAGAAGGAAACTTTAGAGAGGGGGAAAAGCACTAGGTCGTTTTCTTTCTTCTCTATTTTCCTGAAGGCTTCAAAGAGGTTCAGTATTCTTTTCATGTAATACACTTAGATATAAAAGGGTTTCATAGTACAAGGAATTTAATCATTCCTAGTTACTTCAGATATCGGTAACATTACCGCTTAAGGTTGTAGGTATGCCATAGCTAATACCTGAAATTTTAACACAAATATTCAAATATTTAATATACCTTAAGGGGTAGATTCATTTTTTTTTAGTTATATTATTGGTTGCAAAATATATTTTCATTCTTAATTTTCAGCAGATTCTAAGTGTATCACCGAGGATAAATCTTAGCCATTTAAAATTATTTTTATCACCAACTTCTCATTTCTTCTTCCATAGCTCCTCTCTCTTTCCTCTTTTTTTTTCTCTTAAATACTGGATTTTGTCTTTGACAAAAACTTTGATACAAGTTTTTCTCTGAGTATGTTAACCATATTTAATTTTCCAATTAATTTATTTGATAGTTATCATAGTTTTTTTCTATTTTCAAAAAAATATCTTACATTGCTTGAAATGTACATACCAAAACAATATTTTAGTATAACAAGCTGGCTGTTTTCTTTTGTTTGTTGTTTGGTTTTTGTTTTGTTTTGTTTTTTATTCCATAGCAACAGTTTGTATTGCTCTAACTCAGTAAATTCCCCTCCAGGAATGATCTTATGTAATTGCTGTCTCTGGTCCAGGCCCATGTAATAGCCAGTCACTTCCATAAAGAAATAATTTGATTTTGTGCTTTTTACATTTTTAGTAGGGAAAAGGAAGACTAATCCACTCATACATTTGTCCTGCATTCAAGTAACAATTGTCCTTACATTCACTATGTCAAAACCATCTCAACTACCTAAACAGTTAGACCACTAATTATAACTACACCAAAGTGATTCAGGTGGTGATACGCATAAGACTTCTGTTTTTCTCTTCCCGTCTTTTCATTCATTCAACAGTTACTAATGTTTACAATGAGCAAGATACCATGCTAGTCCCTAGAAAAGATACCAAAATGAAACAGAGTTCAGTACTGCCCATAAGGATGTTAAATACTGGTATGGAAAATAAGTATTTTCTAGAGAGTATATATTCTAGTAGGGAATGCAGATAACTACATAAATAATTATATGGTAGCATGTGATAAGCTACATAAGAGCAGTACAGATAAAAGACTGAGGAATGAGAAACGATTTTCAGCTGGAGAAGTCATAAAAGGCTATGAGGAAGAAGTGGAATTTGGACATGCAGAAATGAAAAGATACTGCAGGGAGAAGAAACAGCATGAGCAAAAGCACAGAGGTGGGAAGCATGGAGTATGTAGAGACCCATAAGTCAGTTTTCTTGAGAAGAACCAAGGGTGAGTAGAGGGGAGTAGTTCTGAGTAAGATTGGCAAAGTTTGTTAAACCAGACTGTGGAGGACCCAACAAATCTGCCCATCTCTGGAGTTTTTTGTATTCAAGATTTACCTGTAGAGCCCCTGTTTTCCCACATAGCCTATCTGTTGTCAAATGTTAGGTGTTTGAATGCCTTTTAGGGTAAATTGATGTTGGAGAATATTTTTTGGCAGATATGACAACTGAACTCGTTTTAGAGTCTTTGTTAGTTACCTTTTTAAGATAAAGGCTGGATGGAGGAGAGTATTCTTAAATATATTTGGAAGTATGATAATTTATAATGACTATCAAATGCTTAACCATGTAAAATGTATAGTTGCTCTGATGCAGCTCAAAAATAAGGCATAACTTGCCAACAAGAACTCTGAATATAATCTATCTTATTATGAGTGAATCTTTCACCAATTATTTGGAAGCATAATCAGTGTATCCTCTGCTAGTACTTTAAGTACTTTTCTTGATGTCTGCCTGGAGCCAAAAATCATGTAATTATGACCATAATTGTTACTTACAAATACCATAACTTTTTTTTAATTTTTTTTATTGTTGTAATTAAATGAAGTTTACGTTTCAAGTTAGTCTCCCATACAGAATTTTTTTTTTTACATACATTGTTATGAGACCCCAACTGCTCACCCCATTCTGTGACAGCACACGCCTCCCCTCTGCCCGATTCCCCATGAACATTCAACCAGCTTCTAATTCTCTCTGCCTTCCCATCTCACCTCTGGACGGAAGCTGCCCCTTTGGTCTCTTGTATCTACTTGACTAAGAGGCACATTCTTCACAAGTATCACTTTATGTCCCACAGTCCAGTCCAATCCCTGCCTGAAGAGTTGGCCTCGGAAATTGTTTTAGTTCTGGGGTGATAGACCGAGACCATGCTTTCCGGGGTGCCTCCAGTCTCAGTCAGACCATTAAGTCTGGTCTTACTAGAATTTGAGTTCTGCATCCCTTCCTTCTACTGCTCCATCAGGGACCCTCTGTTGTGTTCCCTGTCAGGACGTTCAACAAACACCATAACTTTTAAGATTCATTAAATTTTTTAAAATTTCTCTTCAGGGAAGTTAAGTTGCTTCTTTTAAGTTTTTGTATTCAAAAACCTGACCAATTAGTACACACTGTAATACAAAAATGCTTACTTTCTATTGACATATGTTAATTATTCTTCAATACTATGTGCATGTTGACAAACCTTGTGCACCAAAGTATTCTCTGATGAAAGCACAGTACTAATGGCAGTTTACTTTCACAGTATGTAGATTGTGGACACTCAGCTTTGGGGAATGGGGGGCAATCCACCTATATCCATCACTCCCCCACCCAAAAAAGAAATTAATGTTTTAAAACAACATAAGCAAATTCCTGGTGATTGTTAAAAAACCAACGGTCTTTTTCTCATTTTTATGTTTCTTCAGCAAGAACCTTGTTTATTTCTTTGTGGACAGAGTAATTCTAGCACTTAACTACTCAAGAGAGAGATAGAAGAAAAAATGATGATTCTGTGTTCTCCTTTCTCTTTGACCCAACTCAGTGAGAGAAACTAGGGGAAGACTACCAGCCTACATGGGGTCACCCATTCTCAGTATGGTAATAATGAGAAAGTAGGTCCAAGACAACTCTGTGTAGATTTGGATCTACTTAAGCCAAGAGCAGATCTTACAACACATATAGAATAATGCAGCCATGTAGAACCTCAGTCCCTTGGGAATTCTGTGATATACATGAAAGGGAGGGAAAAGATGGAACATTTGCCCACCAAGTACCATCCATCTATCTGTAAAACCAGCATAATGTAAGGTCAGCTGTACTGGCAGCCAGACTGCCTAGGGTAAACTTTTAAGGAGGATGATAGACTAAAACAGGTTCATCAGGTACAAGCTTGCTACCTCATTCCCATTTTGATGGGGACAACCTAAAGATAATAGAAAGGGATGGGAGAGCCAATCTAGTTAATATCACTGATTAAAGTCCCTAAAGGTATTAAGAATGACAAGAGCACATACTATAATAGGACAATAATTAAATTTAACATTTGAGTGACTATTATATAAAAGCAGATTTATACCACAGTAATAGCATATTAAGAATAAATTTCAGGGATATAAAATCAAAGTGGAGTAACACTTGTTATAACAGGAAAAATCTCCCTTTCTTTGGCATTAAAACAGAATAATTCAACCCAAGGTTGTTGGGACTAGGACAGCATTATGCAGGGGCATTTGAAAGTGCATTCTTACAAACTTTAACTTGGTGGTCTTCACCAATATTAACGCATATGTTTCTCATCTCTTCTGTTGTTCCTTATTCCTTCTTTTTTCTTTATAACTAACTTCATCTTGACTCCTCTTCATCATGTTTGAGAATTCCAGTTCCCTCTTCCTTTTTCATCTTCCCATTTGTTGTGCCAGAATATACCTACAAATCTAATACAAATGTTGTACAGCATGCAAAAGATAAAAGATCGGGCATTACCCTACAGGTCTACATAATGATTTAAGCTTTTTGGCCTCTTATGGATTAGCTTATTGTAACTTAAATGAGAAAAAATACCGTTAAAAAAAATTTGTAAAAGCCTATCTCAATGTATTTACAAGTGTTTTGTAGCCTAATTGGTATTTATACCTCAAGTGTAAACCTCTGAAAATGTATAAATAGCTCCATGGACATTCATTCCCAGAAAAGCATAATTGGAAAGTAACAACTATGCAAGCATTTTTAAATCACCAAATGGCATTTTCACAAAATATCTGTTTAATAAGCATGTAGCTAAACATTTATATATCATTCCCTAGAGTGTATTATGATTGCCTCATGTGTGATTACCAAATTCCCAGTGTGAAGCAAAACCCAATTTTTTCTCCAACCACCTTCGTAATTTTGCCAGCTTTAACTTTTAACATCTTTGGCACGCTAAACAAAGAACAGACTTTAAAGCTTCTGAGTGGTAATGGTTTGAGTGTTTTGTTCTGTTTTGTTTTTAAGATAGACCTTTCAAAACACTATATGGCCCATTGACAGTTTTAAAGGCTTTCTTAAAGATCAGATAATCGCTTTCTAAATGTTTATTTCTAAGGATATATTAAATGAAACCACTGAGATTCTTTTCTGGCCTTGATTTGCTGAAGTAATCTTTTCTAACAGGGATTTCAAGAGCTTTCTGAATTTTAGAAAAGATGATTGAATTCACTGGATTGTTTGAGGACAGCAGTGTTGTAAGCAAAGTCTTTCCTTCCAAGAACCATCACTGTTTGTCCCAGTTTAACTTTCCCAGCCACCCAGTGGATTCTTCTTTTATTAAACATACATTTATAGGAGCACTTGTATGTTCCAGACAGTGTTACGCACTACTAATGGGTTGGAGACTAGGGTGTATGGTGCCTGCCTTTGAGGAAATTACCCTAGTGGTAAGAAAACAGTCTGTGACTATAAAAAGATGGTTATCTTCTAAAATATTTCCCACAGAGCCAGTTGCTGTACAAAACCAGTTACCTTCAAGTCATCTCCAACCCATGGCAACCCCATGGTATCAGAGTAGTACTCTGCTTCTTAGGGTTTTCAATGACTCATTTTTTCAGAAGTAGATCACCAGGCCTTTCTTCTGAGGTGCCTCTGGGTGGAATTGAACCTCCAACCTTTTAGTTAGCAGCTGAGATTGTTAACAGTTTTCACCACCCAGAGAGTCATAGGGCCTCACTGTTACGGAGCTGTTGAGTAATCTGTTGCACTTCCACAGCATTATTGCTCCAGTCTTTGAAGGAATGTTTTCCTTGTTTTACAAATTAGGCACAAAGATTAAATAATAAAGCCAGGATTGGAGCCCTGCCTTTTGACTCCAGATATACTCTATGATCAATGTTACAAGCAAATTAATTTTTTGTTTTTCTCCATTATTATACCAACAAGCCATATTGACCAGACCATGGAAAGCAAAAGACTCCACCAAAGAGAATCCTGAGCTATTGAGGCTCTTTTGAGTGTTTTTTCCCATAAGATTAGAGTGGAAAGTTATTTTTTAAAAAAAGGCAATTAGTAGAATCACTTCTACTGCCTAAAAGTTTTACTCTCAGTAGATCTGTGTAGAACCGATCTTACTAAAATCTTTATTTATTTGTTTAACTTCTTTCCTTTTTAGTGGAACTGGATCACAGGATTGATTTTGAACTCAGAGAAGGCCTTGTGGAGAGCCGGTATTGGTCAGCTGTCACATCGCACACTGCCTATTGGTCATCCTTGGATGTTGCCCTCTTCCTTTTAACCTTCATGTACAAACATGAGCACGATAATGATGCAAAGCCCAATTTAGATCCAGTCTGAACTCTTGAAGGACATTAATGGCCCCAAACTGATTTTTTTTTTTTTTTCCCTGTTAAAATGTGTGTCGAGACATGGAAATTTCAGGTTTAAGTATGTTTCAGTTTTGTTTAGGGTGAGAAATCTTTTAATTTAAAAGCACCTTATTTAAAACAAGAAACTTTCAGACCAAAAGGAGTTGTTTATGGTTTTCTCATTTTGATTATGCATCTGATGAAACCATCTGCAGAGCGTCAAGCAAGACCTGGAAATAAGGAAGGTTTGGGTGAACTGCATGTAAAGAGTATAAATCACAATCTGATTTTTTCCAAATATGAAAGTATACTTATGCGTTGGATCTAATGTATTAACCAAAATATGTTATAAATCTAAAATGGTCAAGGTCCAGTGTATTCTACGTAAAGGTCACGAGGTGGTATTGTTTTAGGTTTCTATGAAAGCCTCCATTTCCACTATGTCATTGAAAAAGCAGTATAACAGATTTAAAATGTTTTGAATTTAACTTTAGAAAAACTAATGCTTAAAAAAAAAATTTGAACTACTGTATTTATAATTTATTACCTCTGATTGTTTATTTCAGTGTATGAAACATTACATATTTTTTACTGTTTCCTTTGAACATAATTTAAGAACCACATTTATTTTCTATGGTGTTAAGACCCTTTTTTTCTTAGAACTCCATCTTTTTACTCTTCAGATGAATATATAGACACTGTGGCATACTTTCAGTATTCATTAAAAACTTGTGGTTTCACACAAATAACATTAGTTCAGTTATTTTGAAAAAAATAAACTTTTTTATTATGTCACATGTACCTCAGAGAAAGCCAAAGTTTGCTAGACTTGGCATAGAGTACTCCATAATGGGTACATTTCATTAACTTTATTGAAAAATTAGTAAATTTCTTTGGAGTATGGAGTAGGACAGCTATTTTAAATGTATAAATAGTTATGTGCCAAACAATTAAATGAAGGGATAGAGTGCCACTGACAAATTTTATTTTTAAAATGTTTAGGAAACATGATGGAGATGTAAGGCACAATAGATTAGGATTCTGAGGCACTAGAAGGGTTTTCCTTGACTATAATTGTTTCCACAGTGCTTTTCATCTGAGGAGCCCAAAGTGCTTTAAAAAGTATACATTCAGTAATCTATGTAGTAGCTCCAGGAGGTAAGTAAATGAGTGTCACTCTCATGTTACTTGTTAATACACTAAGGCACCAAACTTTTGAATTAGATTACATAGCAAATCAGAAGAGCTTAGATTGAAGTCAAACCATATTCTTCTATCTGCTGTTCAGTGACTAATTCACATGTGCCCTCTTAGTACTTTGCAAACAGTAATAATAGTAATAATAGAAGTTGCAATCCACAGTTGGAGAAATGGCTGTGAAGCCAGTATCCTGCCTTACTTGTCTTATACATTCTTGGATTGTCAGACAAAAAGAGATGTTTAGAGGGGATTAGTAGCCATCTCTGCCACAACCAACCCTCACTTCTGAGTGGCTCCTACTAGGTTCCACTTACGGTGCTGTCTTTGTTTATCTTGCAAGGATTTTATTAGTTTTCCAATAATCATTGTCAAACTGCGAGCAAAGCTGATCAGTTGCACATCTCACCTACTTCTTTGTTTAAAAGAAAGTAGAGTCTGTGGCTTACTGTAGGTTTTACTCTGCACCACCGGGACTTTTGTCTCTTTTGGCCTTTATATTGAGTTTGCACAAAATAAAACACTTCTTTTTAGTGTTTAAAAAAATTCTAAGCCTCCATGACCAAGTATGTGACTCACTAAGAAACCCTTGCTATAAAAGGCTTTTAATGAGATCTTAGCAAAGCTGAAGTAATCTTGATTTCAAATTTAGAGATTCCTATGAACTCAGGTCATTTTCATAGCCTGTTTATTTTGTAGGTCTGATTTAGTTCTTAGGAAAATTAAATTCATGTCATATGACTATCACTAAAGGTACATGAGCATATGTTGCGTGGGTGGTGTGACACTCAAATGCCTAAAAGCTTTACAGTACTCATCCTTCACCACTAATGTGAAGAGCTGTTTTTACCTGAGAAGAAAGTCTATCACACCTTTTAATTTAATATCATTGAATAAAAAGAAAGTAGGTTCTCAGAGCCATAGGAACATACTTGTTTCCTTTTTTTCATTAAGAAAACAAAGTCAAATTTAATCTCTCAGTTTATTTTAATTCTTGGAGAGGGCATCATCGAAAACCTCATTTCAGAATGAGACCTTCTGGGCTACCGGACAAGTGGGTTTTTTTTGTTTTTTTCCCACCAATACATTATTTCATCAATAGAGAAGGTGGTTTTGTTTTACAGTACTCTTCTTGTTTTTGTGTGTCTGCATGTTATCATGGGATGTACTTGTGAATACTGAAGTAATAACAGTATGTGTAATTCTGGCTTGATTTAGAAGCTAAGTCAGTTACTGAGTAACATTTTCCAGCTTTATTCTAGCAAGTACTAAATTGGCCAAGAAGTTCTATTTTTTATACCATTAAAATTTTATTCTCTATTTCGTGTACACGCTATGATGATTCTCCTGAGTATTGGTTAGATCATTCAATTTTAAGCCAGTTAGGTTCACAAGAGTTATTGAAGGTTAGAATAAGGAGAATGTCTTTGGGTTAAATCTTGGCTTATTTTTACTTTAAAATTAGCCTTTGCTAAGGCCTTTTATTAGTTTATTACTTGATTTTCAGTAGTAATTGGGCTTATTTTATAATCCAATGTTGTAATTTAGGATATAATTGCAAAATATACTGGTTTTTCCAGCAACTACTCCTTTATATGTGAAACAAGCCTTAGGAATCTTACATGTTTTACTTCTTCCTATTAAACAGCATCTGTTAGCTGTTTGAAATACTTACACTGAATATGTTCTATAGAAACCCTCAGACAGTATGACATATAAACATTAATCCTCAGTCTCTTTGTGTTGTTTCCTCATAGGGCTGAAGCATCCTAGTCTATAAGGCATGTAATCACCCCTACCCCACCCAGCTTTGTATTTCCTGCAAAAAGGAAAAGAAATCATCCATGTAGTGTCACAGCTAGTTCAACCATTCATTCCAGTGATAATGATAGCACCTGAACCCCTTGAAGTGGAGTCAGACCAAACCAACAGATTTTTATTGTAAGGTCTATAAGAAAGAGAAAAATAATTGCATTTCTTTCTGATTAATTAGATTAGTCAGTACTTCATTTCTGTCTTCTCAGCTATTAATGAATAACGCATTTTGACAATTGAGAAAACCAATTTGAGTGTATGTTTTAGAATTGTTTTTTAATAGTCTTTTCTTATTACCAATGGGGCCAAAGAAGATATTAAAGCCAGTGTCAAGACAGCTAAAAAGAAAACACAGTGATTATATACTGAAAAAGGAAGGTAGAATTTGAATAAACTCGAGTGTTAGATAGTTTACTTCTGTGATCATTCTCAAGTTTTCCATCTCTTATCCTGATTCTTCTGTCATTCCTAGGCCCTCAAGCCTTCTACCAGGAATCCTGTTGTTACTCATGCCTTCATGGGTAGAAACCTGAGGGTTCTCTAGCTAAATTTGGAACACTCATTAAATATTTTATGGTTGTTGTTAGCTCCATCGAGTTGGTTCTGACTCAGAGCAACCCTATGCACAACAGAACGAGACACTGCTCGGTCCTGCGCCATTCTCACAATCGCTGTTATGCTGGAGCCCATTATTGCAGCCACTGTGTAAATCCATCTCATTGAGACCTCTTTTTCACTGACCGTCTTACCTTACTAAGCATGATGTCCTTCTCCAGGGACTGGTCTTTCCTGATAACATGTCCAAAGTGTGTGAGACAGAGTCCCACCATCCTCACTTCTAATGAGCATTCTGGCTGTATTTCTTCCAAGACAGATTGGTTCATTCTTCTAGTAGTCCATGCTATATTCAATATTCTTCGCCAACACCATAATTCAAAGGCATCAGTTCTTCTTTGGTCTTCCTTATTCATTGTTCAGCTTTCACATGCATATGAGGCGATTAAAAACACCATGGCTTGGGTCAGGTGCACCTTAGTCCTTAAAGTGACGTCTTTGCTTTTTAACACTTTAAAGAGATCTTTTGCAGCAAATGTGCCCAATGCAATGCATCGTTTTGATTTGTTAACTGCTGCTTCCATAAGCACTGATTGTGGATCCAAGTAAAATGAAATCCTTTACAACTTCAATATTTTCTCCATTTATTATGATACTGCTTATTGGTCCAGTTGCGAGGATGTTTGTTTTCTTTATGTTGAAGTGTAATCCATACTGAAGCTGTGGTTTTTGATCTTCATTAGTAAGTGCTTCAAGTTCTCTTCACTTTCAGCAAGCAAGGTTGTGCCATCTGCATATCACAGGTGGTTATGAGTCTTCCTCCAATCCTGATGCCCCGTTTTTGTTCATATAGTCAAGCTTCTAGGATTATTTGTTCAGAATACAGACTGAATAAATATGGTGAAAGGATAACAATCCTGACACACACCTTTCCTAACTTAAAACCATGTAGTATCCCCTTGTTTCGTTCGAACGACTGCCTCTTGGTCTAAGTACAGGTATCAGCCATGATCCATCTGACATCGGCAATGATATCCCTCGTTCCATCACAGCAACACACAAGCCCCCAGAGTACGACAAACTGACAGACGCATAGAGGATTTTTATGGTTAGCCCATTGCTGTTGAGTCAGTTCCGGCGCATAGAGACCCTATAGGACAGAGTAGAACTGCCCCATAGGGTTTCAAAGGAGTGCCTGCTGGATTCGAATTGCTGACCTTTTGTTTAGCAGCCGTACCTCTTAACCACTGCGCCACCAGGGTTTCCATTTTATGGTTAGGTATGGGAAATACAAGTGGTTTCCTAACATTTTAGGATATTTTACATACATAAAAACAACTTTTGCTGTACCTACAAACAGCAAATTTGGTAGGAAGAACCCCCACTGAATGCTTACCTCTGTTAGATCTATGTTAGGTCTAGGAAGCTAGTACGACCCAGGCTGTCTCCCTACATTCTGCTTTTGGGTAAGTCAAGGGGAAAGGAAGTTGCCAAGGAAATATTGATAATATTGAACCTAGAGCATTGTCCAGAATGGCAGGATATAGAATTTCATCTCAAACGTTCTTTTGGTTCATTTGGTGAGACTTCGTCTCACATACTTTGGACATGTTATCAGGAGGGACCAAGCCCTGGAGGACATCACGCTTGGTAGAGGGTCAACAAAAAAGAGGAAGACCCTCGACAAGATGGATTGACACAGTGGTTGCAACAGTGGGCTCAAACATAGCAACGATAGTGATGATGGCACAGGACTGGGCAACATTGCATTCTGCTGTATGTGGGGTTGAGATGAGTCGGCCAACTCGGCAGCACCTAGCAAGTAACTGATGGTGACAACCTGGGTCTTTTACAGCCTGTTTCAGTCTTCAGTTGATGCTTGTGATAATTTTCAAAAAACCCTAAAATTTCAGGATTTGCATGGATTTTAGAGGGGGTGGTGCCAACAGTTAAGCACTCAACTACTAGTCAAAAGGTTTGGTGGTTGGAACCCACCCAGAGGCACCTAGGAGAATAGATCTGGTGATCTGCTTCCGAAAAATCACAGCCTTGAAAACCCTATGGAGCAGTTCTACTCTGCACACATAGGGTTGCCATGAGTTGGAATCACATGTTACAGTTTCATGTAAAGGTTCAAATAGCAATAAAGGTAGTGGAAAATAAAGTGCAGAGTGGCATTTTGGGTTCAGCCCAAAGACTCAGTGAAAGACCCAAAGGAAAACAGAGGAAAAGGAGGGAAGTGATGGAATCGCAAAGGAAAAATGCCATTAGCAACAGTAGAATTTTAAAGCTCTAAGGGATGTAGAGATCATTTTCTAAAGCATATTCTACAGATATTAACAGGTGTCATGTCAGAAAATAGGTTTGGAAAATGCAAATTAAAAAGTTTCTTAATAGCAGGAGTTTGGAAGCTTTGATATACTAAATGCATTGTGAATCTGTTTTGGGGAGGTGGGGTGTATAGTATACATTTTTCCAAATTTAATTAACCAGACTTGTTTTTATTAGAGCATTGCGTGTGACTTAGGGATATACTTAGAGAAATGCTGATCAGATTTAATTCTCTAAATTTACGGAATTTCATCCCCTCATGTGAGAAGCCTTCATTTTACAAGTGACCTCTCACATGGCCAGCCAGTGACAGAGCCAGAATTAGAACCTAGTCCCCTGATTCCCAGCTATGCCTGTTATACCACTGCCTGTTTCCTCTAATAGATGGGGAACTCCTACAGGGCAGAAACTGTCTCTCTTCATTTTTTGTGCCTCTCCCTTCCCCCTATGTTTGTAACTTGGTGTTTTACTTGCAGCAAGCACTGTCTTGACCAATGGCTGTAGGTTTGAGTTCCCTCTCAGTTGCTCTTCCACCTTTGTTCCCAGGCCCTCAAGAAAGAGGGCCCTACCAGGCCTGGACAGACTTCTTTTACATGTTTCAGATTCAAATTACCCAGGAAAAAGGAAAGTAAAGACAAAAGAGTAAAAAAAAAAAAAATACCTGGGAAAATTGTATTAGTTCTCCATTTTGATGACAAATGCAAACTTGGTAAGGAAACAAGTTGCCATGTTAAATACTTAATATTCCTTTTCATTTCTTTCCATAGTTGGCCTTCAGTTCATGACAAATAGATCACTTCTAAAACTGTTCCAACATAGGTTAACTGATAAAAATTAAGTGCTGTAATTTTTGGAAGGTAGAAGAGTTTTTGCTGTTATTTTGTGTGTGTGTGTGTTCCCCAAAGATAATCTCTTGGTAGATTGCTAGGATGAACTTTTCCTCTGCCTTTGTGTTTGAATAGGAGTGGGAATGTGCTTAGTATTGTCTGTTACCTTATGGTTTTTCATTTATACACAACAGGGAGCAACTTGTTTCCTCCCCACCCTACAGTTGTCAGGATATGTTGGGAAAATATTCCTTAGGAAGATTACATCTGGTCTTCCGTTGCAGTAAGATAAAAAACAAGTATGTTAATAAACCCCACCCATTGCCATCAAGTCGATTCCGACTCATAGTGACCCTATAGGACAGGGTAGAACTGCCCCATAGGGTTTCCAAGGAGCACCTGGTGGATTTGAACTGCTGACCTTTATGGTTAGCAGCTGTAGGTTTTAACCACTATGCCACCAGGGTTTCCTAAGAATATTGATAGTTCACCTTTAATGCTTTCTCCTGAAAGACATAGTGAATGTCTATGGGAATCGCTCATTCCCTTGATTACACCCACACCCACCACCATCTCTGCTTGCTCTCTAAAAATACTTGATTGATTTCCTATGAGCTTTGTGATTAAAAAAATATAACCGTTTTCTGGTTCTAAGACTGTCATAGTAAATCCCTACTCTTCCAGTAGGAGTCCAGGGAGGTTTTTGTTTTGTTTTTTATTTTTTTATTTTTTTGCATTTTGCGCTCAGATTGTATATTTCTCAGAAGCAGCTAGCACTGTAACTCTCCTGAGATCTTTAAACTGTTTCCTTTCTTCCAATTTCTATGTCACTTTCTGTATGGTCACTCTCCCTAACAGTACTAAATTCTGTCAGTGATGGCGGTAACATCTCTTAGGAGGTGGCTTTGTTTTTGTTTTCCTTTCCTTTGCTACCTTTCGTTTTTAGTAGTCACGGCAGGTTGATTTTCTCAGAATCTCCAACTTTACTGAAGCATGTATTATTTCTGTTTTATCTCTGCAGTGATCTGCTTGGCTGGTTAAAAAAAAATAATAATAACCTTGATTTCTAACATTGTCCAGTTCTGAATATTCTCAGTTGGAACTCTGATGCATGCACATTTTAATAGTTTCAGAGGAATAAGAGGTAAATGTAGTGTTTTCTCTTGGATTTTACTGTGTTTCTCTAGCTGAATTTATTCATTTTCTCTCTCCCCTACTCCTAGTTCCAGTGTCCCCCTAAAGTTCCTTCTTTTGGTTGAATTAAATGACAGTTAATGAGATGAACGCCCTCTTAATCTGTCAGGTACTATTTTACCCAGCCGTGCCGATTCTCAGCGCTAACCCCAGGAACAGGTGATTGTGCCCTACAGTAAACAACCTCGAAGACTAGGCTGTTAAGAGCATTCTAGGGAGCATAATCCTAATCCTACAGTCTGTGGTAAAATTCCCAAAGGGTTTATGATGATTGGAAGATCTTAAGATCTACCTAGTCATGAGGTGACTATGGCCACCACACCCTGTCCTACTAGGTAGGTTGGTGGCTACAGCAGCACTCCTATAGAGTATAATCCATTCACAATTTCTCAGTCTAGAATTCAAGAGAGAACCATAACTCCCAAGTTTTTAGGCTAATCTACATATGTGGTACCTGACAGAAAATTAATGCCAAGAAACCATGGAGATTGGGACCAACTACATTTCCACTTACCTCCCCATTCCCTCACACTTTGGTTAGTGCCAAAAAAAAAAAATTAAACCTGTTGCCTTTGAGTCAATTCTGACTCATAGTGACCCTGTAGGACAGACTAGAACCGCCCATAGGGTTTCCAAGGAGCCCCCAGTGGTTTCAAACTGCCAACCTTTTGGTTAGCAGTTGTATCTCTTAACCACTACGATACCAGGGCTCCTGTTGGTTGG